CTTTCTTTCTTTCTTTCTTTCTTTCTTTCTTTCTTTCTTTCTTTCTTTCTTTCTTTCTTTCTCTTTCTTTCCTTTTCTTTTTTCTTTATCGATTGATCACCAGCACCACAGTGGGGACTTCTAGAATAACAATGGTGATGAAAATGAATTACATACGCATCAAGGCCACTTTTATAGCATAAAAAAGTCAAAAGCACAGGCCTTGAAATTAGGTAGGCCTGGGTACAAATCCTTTCTAGTGCAGTGACCTTGAACCAGTTATTCAACCTCTTTGAAATTTAGTTTTCCTTTATAAATAAGGGTATTAGTAACTACCTCAAAGGGTTCCAGTGAAGATTAATGGGTGTAAAACGCAGTGCCTGGCACCAAGTAACACTCAGTAGAGTAGATCATTATTACTCAGTGATGCACATGCTTGACAAACTCCGGCCAACATTTCCTGGTGGTGCTAACCCAGTCCCCTTCTGCTATGGGCTGGGCTTCCAGTTAATCAGTTTGGGCACCAGACAACTGCTTGGCAGAGGACTTGGCAGAACAGATGTCAGAGATTACGTTCCTGACACCCAGAAGAGAAAACAGATAAGGCCACAGGAAAGGACAAAGCGCTTAACTAACTCCCAGCCTTACTCAGCAGGTCACCGGAGAGCCTTAACTCCACATTCCAATGATGTCATCAAGAACAAGAGTGATGAAGTCCTTCCAACAGCAGGTCATTCAAAACCTTGACCAAACGTTATCATCACCTGGGGAGCTTAGAATGTTTGGGCTCCACTCTTAGCATTTGGGGTGTAGACTATGTATCAAGGTTCTTAAGAGGCACATGTGACCTAATGTGCACCACCCTGCTGTGTTAAGCTGGGGTGGGGGTTGGGGGGGTACACAAAGAACACAGGGAAAACAAAGAAGAGAACAGAGACCGCCACATCGCACATGAACTCCATTAAAACCAACCAACTCATGTGGTCCCAAGCTGTGTCCCATGCCAAACAAATCCAGTCCCATTAGGGTCCCCCTCACTCCCTCCATAAACTTCAAGAGCACAGTCCTGCGTAATAATTCACAGGGCTAAAATATGGTAATAACATCAGGATGCGCGCATATCAATATTCTAAAGAATATTAAAGCAACACAGCTGGTCGCTGGATTTGGGTCTTAACAAAACAAAACAAAAAAAGTGCGGCTAAGGGACAGTGGAGGCTGGGGGAGGGAGAAAGCATTTTGTCTCACAGCCTTCAGGCAGCCTGTCGATGCGACTGAAGCACACTCAAAGAGGCAGCCTCATTTTGTGAAGTTATCGCCGTGTCTTTGATCAAGGGAAAGAGCACATCCATTTCAATCACTGTAACGAGGACGGGTGGGCCATTTGGCTGCCTGGCTGCCCACCGGGGGGAGCCAGCCTCGGGCCAGCAGACACATGGCAGTGCTTAGCGTGTCAAACAAATAAAGGGGTTCTCAACTGTCTATCCAAACTCTGCTGAACTTCAGAGGCCCTCTCTTTGAGCAATTCTGCCCCGACTAATCTGGAAGTTCCTTTCCGGCCAACACCACCTGGTCTGGACTGGCCTCGCCAAAACAAAAGCTGGCCAGCAGCTGTCTGTCACGAGGCAGCGGACACTTCAGAGCCGGGAGGGCAGGGGTCAACCTTCTCATGAGCAACACACTGGAGATGACACAGTCCTAGAGAAAGGGGGAAGTTGATGGCCATCAACTCCGCCTCCTCCCTATAACCTCTACCCCCAGCTGGGCCCCAAACTAGTCAAGAGAGGTCTGATTATCTTCCCCAGCAGGTGAATTCCCAGCAGTGCAGTTTCAAATACATACGCAAACATCACCTGCGTTCTTTTCACCAGAAGACATAATAAATAAAACATTGAGGAGGGGGAGGCTCAGCAAAAGGTTTCATTTTCCTTCTGTGACATCACCCATAACACCTCGGGAAGACACGAGTAGAACCAGAGTAGAGATGGGAGTCATGACCACGAAAATGCAAAACATTTCGATGCATTTGTGTGTTCCAAGGGTCGTGCGCACATGCACGTATTCAACCCTCACCCCAGCCCTATGAGGTACGCTATAGTGACTCTCACTAATAATGGTAATAACGATAGTAACATGTAATAAGATGTATAGTGTAATTACTATGATTAGATATGATAATAACGGAGATCATAATCTTCATTTCTCACAGAAGGACACTGACGCCCGGAGAAGCTCCGTGACTCGCCTGAGGCGGAGGGCTGGGACTCACACGGGGCGGTGTGGCTCCAGGACCCGTGTGTGAACCACAGCATGAGACTGCCTTCCTGCATCCCCACTCAGAGCCTCCCTGACAGCTGTCAGGTTACCCTGGAGGACCAGGGAGACGTGGGGGCTAGCAGGGTCTGAGTGCAAATCCCAGCTCTGGCACTTCTTGTCCCTGTAAATGGGGAAACCAACACCTGCCTCACAGGCCCGCCGTGAGGCTTACGTGAGAAAATGAAGAAGGGCGCCTCTCAAAGTGTCGCCAGCGAAGGTCAGTTTAAGCTAGCAGCTCTCAATCCTGGCCGAATGTTTGAATTGGTGAGGAACTTTAGCAAATATGATGCCTAGGCTCAGTTGGTTAAGTGTCTGACTCTCGGTTTCAGCTCAGGTCATGATCTCATGGTTCATGGGTTCAAGCCCCGTGGCGGGCTCTGAGCTGACAGCTAGGAGCCTGCCTGGGATCCTTTCTCTCCCTCTCTCTCTGCCCCTCCCCTGCTCATATGCACAGTCTCTAAATACATAAATAAACAAACATTTAAAAAATACGATGCCCAGACCCTTCCCCACCACCCCTCCATGCCTCTACCCCAACAAGCATCAGTCTGAAATCAGCAATCCCCAGGCCCAGCCCTGAAAAGAAACATGAAACCCATGAAACCAAAGGCCAGGCTACACCCTGTGCCCCCTTGATTCCAGAATTACAGAGAAGCTTTGAAACCCCTGAAGTGTCTGTTTCCAATCCCAAGATAGTGGGACTCCCCCAAATGCTGCCCTGTTCCACAGAGAGAAGCAGGCACCATGATCATCCCCAAACATGTGGCTGACTCACCCTCGTCCAGCAACCTTCCCTACTTTCACCCCCACAACACCTTCATCCAGCTGCCTCCCACCCCACAGACGACGTCCCCCATCCAGCCCAAAAGCTTTGTAAAGGGGCAGCCCACTGTCCCCATGCTGCCTGCTTTAGAAATAGTTGTGCCAACATCAACATAGCCAAAGTTACTTTTACACAAAGCACTAACCTGAAGACAATGCAGGATGAGAGGTGGGACTGCCTGAAAAGAAATGTTAAAATCCGGGTGCACGCACGTATGCACACGCACGCACACACATTCACGCCAAGAACCATGGTACAACGTGTACTCAACGGGAGCACTGCTTCCTTCGAGGACTCGGGGTAGGAAGAAGGGGAGTGCAGCAGGGGTAGAAATAAACAGTGAAGGGATTACCAGGGGTTGCCCATGGAAACTGGCAGGGCTAAGAAAAATAATCAGCCTGCATTTGACAGAAGAGAAAAATGGAGACAGCCAGCAGGGAGGATGGGGACCAAGCAATGCCAGTTTCCTGGCTCAGATTTCCATGCCCCTTCTCAGGACCCACTGCCAGCTGGCAAAGGGTGGCACGGAGGGCCCGGGAGGGGGAATGCAGACACCAGAAGGTAGCACCAGAAGGTGTCAAAGAGCCCTCAGCTGTTTCCCAGAAAGCAAAGGCTCTGAGGGGCCCTCCCACTCTCAAGCGCCTCCCCTCGGCCTCAGTCCAGGAAATGGGGCTAAGAGACGTGGCCAAGGCCTCACCTGGGTAAAAGAGCCATCCTCGCTGCACTCCGGGACAAACACCGCCTCCTGGGGCTTCTTGGCTTGCTCTAGGGCCTGCGCCCGCTCCAGGCGACACTTGCTCTGGCCAGCGTCTATAAGAGGAGACGAGGAGCGTATTTCATACTTCACCTGGATCCACGCAGGACCCACGGGACAAAATGGCCGCCTGGCACTAGGAATGCTGAGTGGAAAGCTCTCCGCCTGTGGGTGAGCCCACATACGAGCAACTGGATTTTCCCACAACACATAGGCAGTGGCTAGTGGCGCGTAAGTGCTGCTCGGCCTCATCGTCCTCTTAATCTTAATCTTAGAAAAGCCAGGGAGGTGTATTTATACCAGACTCTGCTTATTTTTTTCTCCCAAGTACCTTCAGCCACACCCACCCCCCAACCAGGGGAAAAAATATTTCACCTCTATTATCTTTCGCTGGGCTTATTAAAAAACTTGCAAGCCCAAGGGGTCTCAAAGATGCTTTATAGGTCAAGAATTGGGAGCATTTTCTCTGGAAGACCAGAAGCTCTAGGGCAACTTGCTCAGTCTCATGCCATTTCCTACAAGAGCTCTACGCAGCCCAGCGCTGATCAAATCACAAACTCCAGTCTCCACAGGGCCTAGGAAAGTGATGTAAATTAGGGCACTGAACTGGGTGTACAAAGAATGGCACTCAGCTTGGAGACACTGCAGGGAGTGCTGGGGACTTCGGCAAAGTGGAGAATGGGCTTCCCTTGAGAGGAGGAAGCTGCTACTCAGATCTAGCCATGTGGCTCCCTGTGGGAGGGAACACAGACCTAACAGTACCAGAGCTCCCAATTATTTATGAGAAGTACAAAACTCCAGATTTTTATGTTGAATCTCTCAATTCTAAAATGTTGTCTCAAATGTTTTTAATATTTTTAAACATGCGAGCAGCCCAAACAAAACACATCTGTTGGCCAACCATTTGGAATCCCTATCCAGGAGCCAACAATAACGTCTTGCCATTTTAAGCATCTCCGTTTACGAAAATAAAAAATAAAAATAAATGGCACTAGCCAGATAGTAGCACATCGTTCTAAGCCCTAGCCTGGTGGCGAGTGTTGGAAAGACGGAGAAGTACTCATTCCTTCAAGTAGGCCAGTCCTCCTTCCCATATTCCCTGGCGGGAGGGTGGACGGACAGTGGCGAACAAAATGAACAGACTCATTCTGAGCCTCCCCTGTGGCAAGCATGTCATGCAGGGAGCCATGGGGCCTGGGAGTCCCTTTTCTGCTAGGCGAACGTGCACACACTCACCTTTGCATCTACCGCGATGTACCACACCCAGGGTCGGGTCTCTGCACTTGGCTCGCTGGTACTCACACATTGACTCGTAGGACCTGCCGTCAGAGGCACAGATGGGTTTGGGCTGAGTCCTGGAGCAGTGGAGGTTGCACTGAGGGTCACGGTCACTTATGAGGAACTAGGTGGGAGAAAAGTGAAAGAGTATAGAGGTTAGTTTTGCAAGAAAAATAGGGGAGAGGCCATGCCTTACAATGCTGGTTCGCCTTGGGGAGCAAGTCCAGAATAAACCCAAAGTTATTAAACCCTAGAAGTAGAAGGGAACTGAGCAGTCACAGAGTCTAACCAAGGAAAGCATGCTGTGCTAAGTCATTCACAGGCAGGATCTCATTAATCCTCACAACAGCCCTATGAAGTAGGAACTATTTATTCTGTACATAAAGAAACTCAAGCCAGAAAGAGGTAACTTGTCCAATGTTACACAGCTATAAGTGATGGATTTGAACCTAGATCAGTCAGAAGTCAAATCAAAGCTTTCGCCACCTGGATATTCAGCCTCTCTATCCTTGCATGTGGTCACATGACCCCTGTTTGGGGACTTTCCCGAATCAGCAACTCACTAGCAATCTCTACATTCCAGCTTTGGGGAGCTGCATTTATTAGAAAGGAGTAGTGAGACCCAACTCCACCACCCTTCAATTTCTGCCCATCGCTCTCTGGCAGAAACAAGTGATTTTCTATGAGAAAAGGATTTCCTGATTTAAAAAGATAATAATCAGGGGTGCCTGGGTGGCTCAGTTGGTTAAGCGGCTGACATACGCTCAGGTCATGATCTCGCAGTTCATGAGTTCGAGCCCCACACTGGGCTCTGTGCTGACAGCTCAGAGCTTGGAGCTTGCTTCCAATTCTGTGTCTCCTTCTCTCTCTGCACCTCCCTGCTCACACCCTATCTCTCTGTCTCCCCAAAATAAATAAACGTTAAAAAAATTTTTTTAGAAAGATAATAATCAGATTGGGAAATACTGAGTGAAACAGGTTTCTTTCCTGCAGGACTTCTCTGATATCTTTGATACATTCTTACCCATTGTGGCCGTAGCAAATTGTGTGCTACTCTTCCTGTTGAGCTAACTCTCTCCCCTTGAATCTGCACTAGCCTCAGTAATTTGACCAATAAAATGCTGTGGAAAAGATGTTTTGGGACTTTCGAGCAAGGTCATATGAAGCTTTACAGTTTCCTCCCAGCCCTCTTACAACACTCACTCTGGAGGAACTCAGTCAGTACATAAGAAGCCTAGGAGCCCCGAGACCACCATGCTATGAGGAAGCCCAAGCTAACATGAGACAAAACCATGTGCAGAGAGAAATGCACAACCAACCGAGGCACAGAGATGCGAGTGAAGAAGACATTAGATGAGTCCGCCCCCTACTATCATCTGATTGCATAAAAATAATAAAAATAAACAAAAATAATTGCATGAGACACCCCAAGTGAGAACCACCCAGCTGAGCCCAGTCAATCCATGGAACTGTAAGGGATAATAATAAATGGATGTACTAAGCTATCAAATTTTGTGGTAGCCTGTTACACAGCAATAGATAACCAAGTCAAGGGGCATGTAGGATAATGCATCTCCCATTCATCTGACCGTGAACCCTTTTTTAGTGAACCCCTGTTAGCAAGTATAGGATACAGCTGGAAAACAATAACTGGGTCATAGAATCCATGAGCTTCTGTTGAATAACCCATGATTAGGCTGCATGGGCTGCATCCACTCTTCTCTACCCCTAAAGAGCAGAGTTCTAAGCCCACTCAAGGCTCTTCATCAGTACAGGCTGACAGAATGCATAGCCACAATAATGCATGGCAATGTTGTGAGCACAGGTCTGGCCATTGGTAACGCTGGAGCTGACTGAAGAATTACACCAACCTCATAGGGTTTAGGGAGGTGTGAATACAACCCCTGTTTCTGATGTATCTTCAGGCCCTTTGTGCAAAACAACCAGATGAGAGTTTGACCCTTTTCCAGAACAGCAGAGGGAGTCCAGAGGCAGTAGTACCACTCCCTTCAAGAGAGGACCAGGTACACACACCCCACCCTGGCCAAATTCCAGGAGAGTCCAAGCCTGTCCGCTAGGACACACGCTGTCCCCCAAATGTAAAACCAGTTCTTCCTGCGACCCTGACCTCATGCCTGAATGCTGGGTGCTCTGCACAGGGAGGGAGCAGGTGAGGGCTGAAATCATGCAGGCCTCCTCAGGATGGACAGGGCAACTTGTCTTCCCTACAGACCGTCTGGGCTCCCACACACAAGGGTTCAACCTGACTCCTGCCCAAATCCAGAAGGAAATGTCCTGATAGCATCTCACACTACAGTCTAGTATTCTGGGAGTGAAACTGATACCATAGGAAGCCATATCCAGAGGAAGCTCCCTGCCTCCCAGGTGGCCACACAGAGGAGAGAGTTTGAGCTGACAGGATAGCAGAAGGGAGAGGTGCCATCCACACCTCCACCCTGCATGGGACCCTTGGCCTCACTCCTGTCAGGTGGACCCTGTTTGAAACTCTTGAGTGGGAGCGCCTGGGTGGCTCAGTCGGCTGAGCGTCGGACTTTGGCTCAGGTCATGATCTCACGGTTCGTGGGTTCGAGCCCCGTGTTGGGCTCTGTGCTGACAGCTCAGAGTCTGGGGCCTGTTTCTCAGTCTGTGACTCCCTCTCTCTCTGACCCTCCCCTGCTCACGCTGTCTCTCTCTCTCTCTCTCTCTCCTAGAAATAAATAAAACATTGAAAAAAAAAAAAGAAGAAGAAGAAGAAGCCCTTGAGTGGTGTCCTATTGCCCCTCAGGACCTTCACACGGTCTCCTAGGCCTGGCAGAATCTGACCTTGGGGGTCTCCTCCCTGGCCTCAGCTCTTACTGCCTCATCCCCACCTTGCCCACCACTGGTCAGGCACACCAGCCTGCTTTCCGTTCACCAAATGAGCTTCATTTGCTCCTACCTCCAGGCTCTGGACACACTATGCCTTCTCCCTCCCCTCCCACCCCCACTTCAGATTTCAGCTCATGTCATCTCTGTTAGGAGGCTTTCCCCGACTCTCACAGATGAGCCCAGGTCCCCTAGAATAACTTCTCACACGTCACTCTTCCTTCGTGGCACTAAATACAGTTTGTGACGACGAACTGTGTGAGCTGATTAACAATGGAATCCCCAACTTGAACCTCACAACGACAAGGAGACTAGGAATACATACATCCCCAGCGAGGCCGGGGCACTCAGGCATCCCTGTAGCAGCATCTCCCATACGGCATGACCTCGAAAGCGGCTGGTATAATGTGACAGGCCTGGCCTTGCAGGCAGGCTCCTGCCACCACCTCAGGGGGTCACTGGGCCACTCCCTCACCCCCATGCTCTGAGCTTTCCCCTCCCTACCCCACCCCAGATTACATAGTGGCCGAGGTGGTCCACAGCTTCCTGCCCCAGCTCCACCTCAGAACTTAAGTTGTCTCGGAAATTGAGAGGGGGGTCTTTCTCTCCTACCCCACCCAGACCCATCTGCCACTACAACTCTCTCCACCGAAAGCAACCGTGCACCGTGGAAAATTGGGACCCAAAGGTCTAGCTGGAGGAGGCAGGCTTGGGAAGCCCTGGCCACAGGCTCCTGAATGGACACAGGACATGGGTGGCTGCAACCTGCAAAGCTGGTCTCAAACACCTCTCTTCCCCCGCTCTGGATGGATGGCTCTCCCAGACCCACACATCACCTGTCCGCAGCCTAGAAATGACGCCAGGCCTGGCTCGGTGATTCTGCATGGTAAGCAGCCGGCATCTGGCCCGAGGGTGGGACCGCTGTCCTCACACCCAGGCTTCTCCAGGCCAACCGGTGACCCTGAGACTGCCTGAGAGCAGGCACTGCTGATATCACACCACTGTCTCCTCATCTGTGGACCTACGTGCTACTTACGCGCAGTGAGGCTTGTTTTTATTTGTTAGCTTAATTTGCCATGGGAATTAGTAGGAGCCGAGGAAACACATGCTCTTTTTTCTCATGATCAGACAAGGACAGAACTCTCTGTATCTCCTAATGCCTGGGAAAACCAAGGAACTCATCATCCTTGGTCACAAAGGGATTTGGTAGCCAGACCTTACGTCTTAAGAGCGATAACAAGAAGAGCTAATAATTGGGTATCACTTACGATATGTTAAAGCTTTACAATAAGCCTATGAGGCAGAGTAAGTTACATCCGGATGTTATAGACGAGGAGACAAAAGCCCAGGTTACTCCTCGAAGCACAGTGTGTGATGTTAAAAGTATCACCCGCAGCCTGGCTCCGGCCAGGCTTCCACCACACCCAGACCGCCCTTCATTATTCCAGAGCAAGGCTGCAAACAGAAGCTCTGATGGTCTTGCAAAACTGGATTCCCAAAGTCAAAAACCATTTACCAAAAGCCTACGATGTGCCAGCCACCAACCGCTAAGGACGCAGACAAGACAGACCTGCCTTCCTATCACCTGATGCCTCCTGGGAGAAGAGCCTCATGGGGCTCATGTTCCCCTTAAAAAGCAGGGATTGAAAAAGACAAAGTTCCTTTTCAAATCCAAAGAGATTGCCCTGTTCTCTCTTCCTCAGCTCACGGGAGAGGAGAGCTGTGGGCGTCACCGTGGCATTGAACTACAGGCCATAAATTTGGTTTGGAAATGGCTTGCTCTGGGCCAACAGAGACGCTACAGCCGCTGTGCCAGAGACCAGCTTAATGACTAGGAGAACATTCTGTCTGCAAACAGACAGGTTAAAGAGCTTCGGAGGAAGCCCCACCTACCCCCAACACATGGAGATCCTTCCCACCTCCACAAGGGCTCCCAAAAGGTTCCATCTAGAAATTACTGGTCCCTGAGGCCAAGTAAAAAGTTCCGAGGCAGCACAGGGCCATTGCTAAAAGTCTGTCTTGCCCATCTGTGGTGTCTCATTTTCATCTGTTTTAGGAACTGTGTGTATTTGTGGTTGTTTAAAAAAAAAAAAAAAGGCAATGGGTTCTATAAAATGGACTTTTAATAGGATGACTATGCCCTAATGTGATCACCCAGACCTTCACGGCCTGAGGGGATTACTTTAGGTCCACAAACACTGTTTATTGAGCCATCCATTCATCTACTTTTGTCCTCAACAAGCCTGCATTGTGAGCCCA